CTACCGGGCGAGCAACCAGCCTGGAGGACTTCCTGGGAGGACTCTCCACTTCCACCCCCACCAGCTGATGATGATGCCTTCATGAATGACATCGACTTGGAAAACCTTGGCGATGAGTAGTCTGTACTCGTCGCTCCTCTGAGTGTGTTTTTATTTCAGACTTTTCGTGTTTGCTCCATGTGTGTGCGGAGCTTGAACAGAATATGTCATTTGTTTTAGTTTGTTTTTCTTTCTTGTGTGGATTGTCTATTTGTGGCCATCTGGGCTAACTCTGATCCCTAACGCACAGTGTGCTAGTGTGTTCTTCATGTTCCCTTCGTGCAGAACTGGTCCCTTTTCCAGTCCTCTTCCTTCAGACTAGTCCCCTTCCAGTCTCATGCAGTCTGTGCACACCGGTAACATCGTTCCCCTTATCCTTCCCTCTTCTCCATTGAGGGCAATGTCGAACTTAAGTGTGTGTAGGGGGGGGGGGGGATGTTTCTCTTTTGACTGCATTAGATCTGTTTGTGTGCTTGGAGCCTAGTCCACTGTCCAAATTTTTAAATTTGAGGGCTCCAAGTACGTGTTTTCTTGCAAATTGCCTGCTCAGTATGCTATGAATTGACAGTCTCTTTAGTAATGTGCAACCTAGGGAGGTAGTGTAGCACTATGGAGGATGTTGAAGTATAAGATTTTTCCTATCTAGCTCTCTGCTGTGTCAGTTGATTTTGTGAATTAGTGGAGCTAAGACCATTGAATTCATGTGGTAATGTGGACTCTGTTTGGATTGTGTTATGGACTCGTGTATCGAACAGGGTGCTCATGTGAGAAATGAAAAGCAGTTGGTCCTCCATGTCGAAATCATCAAAATCTTAAACATGGGGAAAGCCCAACGTGCGTGGCACCGTTCATTGCACAAAATCGGGTTTTGGAGGAGATTTTAGGGATCCTTAGTGGGGTACTCCTACAAGGTGAAGATAAGCTGTCTCTAGTACAAGTAAAACTTCCACCCGTTGAACGGTTTGCCTACTCGAGGATGTGTTTTTAAGGGCACGGATAGAGCTTCCGACCCCCCTTAATTTAATTGACCCTCCACACGAGTTGAGGAAAAGGAGTTAAAAGAAGTACTCTGGCGAGCGCCAGGTGTACAGAAATTGCTCTTGCTCGACTAATAAGGGTCGACCGTTCAAAAGACTGCAATTGGAACCCCGCCAAATGAAAGAAAAAAAAGAGAAAAAAAATGTAAATGAAAGTGAGAAAGAGGGGTTCCAACGGTGAAATGAAGTGAAAGAGCACTCCGGTACCACGAGTCCTTGGTTGTGAATGGTGTGAGTCCCTTTATCCATGAACTGACTGTCTTACTTCTATCTCTTCTCATGATCCTAGCGTGAGTCTATTTCTCGCATTGAGAGAGATAGGGTACGTCTTAGAAGACCAGTTGACCTCGTAAGCTGCTTTATGATCTAGAAAATCCTCTACCGACGATCGGGGTTGTTTGTTGCTATAGAGGTATGGAGAGCTGCATTGGTTTGAGTTATGTTTGCTTGGGGACAAGCAAACTGTTAAGTGTGGGGGAATTTGATAGACCATTGATTGCACATGTTTTTACCCCTATTCTTGAGCCGTTTGAGATGTCGATTCTCGCGTTTTAGGCTGATTTCACGCTAGGTTGTTCTTGTTTGTGATATTCAGGTCCTAGAACGGGAATGAAGGCTTGGGAACGAGTTCGGGGTCGATTGGACGAAGATTGGACGTTTGGCGAGAAGCTAAGAAAGCCACACGGGCACGCCTAAAATCCCACACGACCGTGTGTCGTGGCCGTGTGGCACCATTTTACACGGACAAGCCACACGGGCCGTGTGAAGGCTCGGTAATTCCCACACGGGCAACTTAAAATCCCACACGGCCCTGTGGCCCTGGCCTTTCAGCATGCCTGGAAGCCCACTAATCGAAACGCCGCGTTTGAACACTCACACGGGCAGCTAGGAAAGTCACACGGCCGTGTGGCCTGGCCGTGTGATCGGGAATTTCTGGTTTTCACCCAATTTCCAGCCAAAGGAGAAGGGTTTCGAGTTTGAGAGAGAAAAAATGCAACCTAGAGAGAGAAAGTGACGAACCTAATTCTGCAAGTGTCCTTGATCGATCTCCATCACCATTGGAGCCCGGCTTCGGCTTGGAGAAGAGCTGATTGAGTGTCAGTAGCAGAGTATCATCCTTCACAGTATGGTTTCCGCATCTGAGCTAGATTTCCCATCTCTCTCTATGGAGTAGCTTTCTTATTCACCTGGGTATGAAAGAACCCTAGCTTTGTATGTTAGGTCTAATTGTATGAACCCAAGTACAGATTCTATGATTTGATTATATTCAATTGAGGTTTGAATTGTTGAATGACATGAATCCTGATCAAATTCCTGTTATTTCTGCTTTGACCTAGAATGAGAATATTTGTCTAGGTTAATAGAGCATCCTTGATTGAAGGTAGTGAGTTGACGACTTTAGTCGAGGAGTCAATTCACTATTCTGTACCGGATTCACTTCGGTAGTGGAGGTTTGGTTCGTTAGGGCCTCAATCTGTTTACTCTGGTGGAGGTTAGTCGCCCGCTGGGGACTCAGATTGAGAGGGTCTGGAGACCTTTAGTCAAGACTACAGACTGTTTAAGAACCTCCCGTAGTATAACTATCATTGAAATTGAACTTGGTAAATTACAATATGGCTTAACTGCAGTCTAGGGGGAACCATATCCGGGTGACCTCTCTCGACTTGAAAACAACCTCTTTACTTGCTTTGCTTGTTTTCTTGTTAGGATCTTCACTAAAGTTTCACTGCTAAATAATAAGAACTCACGGAGTAGTCATCACATCTAGGACCCGGGTTGACATTAAAACCCAAACCCGCATACTACGCTTTAGGAGGTGGTTCCACTTGGCCATTTTCTAGAGTGACAGTAGGAGCGAGTCAAGAACACTAGTCTTGTATGTTAGGAATGGTTGTATGAGCTCCAATTGGGTGTGATTGATTTGGTATATTCAATTGAGGCATTAATTAGAATTGCATCAGTCTTGATCAAACATGTGTGATTCCTGCTTTAACCTAGAAAGATAGTCTCTGCATAGATTAAAAGAGCGACCTTAAATTGAAAGTGGCGAATCGACTGCTTTAGTCGTGTGTCGATTCACTGCTCTGTACTGGAATTAAAGCCAGTATAGGAAGTTTGGTGCGTTATTGCCATGGTAGTTTATGCCAGTGGAGGTTAGTACACCACTGAGTACTCGAACCAAGAGGGTCTGGTCTTTTTCAGTCGAGATTCAAGACTTGTCAAGAACTTTCCGCAGTGTATCTTTCAATCTGAACAAATTGAGAACATATAATTTGAAATAGCTGCATACTAGAGCGAACCATACCTGGATGACCTTCAACATATTTGGAAAACCAGAGCATATCTTACTTTTTGTTTTATTTTGCAATTGGTCAACTCACTACACTTAGTTTTCTAAATAATAGAAGTTTACAGAGTAGGATGTAGATCTAGACCCCGAGTTTATATTAAACTGAACCATTATTCTGCATTTCCATCCTACGTACACTTGGTCATAGTTTAGTGTTGTGTTTTTGCGTGTCAATAGTCGTAGCAGTAGTCTTAGTCGCCGAGCTCTCCACAGGAATCTCTATAGGAGTAGCGACGTAGATTCCCAAAAAATCAAACACCATCGTTCGAACTTTGCCCTCCGTCCCCGAAGCCAAATTGGCCTAACACCCCCAAATCGACAACCAAACCATAATCGACCACGAACAAGAACCATTCACCCTTCAATTTCGTTACTCCGCTCCCCGACTTCACGCCGCCTCCGATGTCTGCACCCATTACTCCAAGCAGAAGCCTCATATCAGACCAACCAAGTTGGCGGAGCCACCGGTCACTGACGTCGTCCTAGACAAATGACGAACCATAAACGGCGTCCTCGAAAGCCCAAACTTAATTCAATGGGCTTGAGGTCCCCTTCTCCTTCGGGATTAGGGCCTTCCGTTAACGTCGTCAGCGTCTCACCAACCACCAGCCTTCAAGCTTCCGGATCTCTCAATCAACAGCTATGGTTGGGAGATGCAGTAGTTAGCGGCGCCGGAACCCTTCTTCTGCCAGAGAAGACCGAAAAATGGCGAAGCGATTCTGACAGAGTTGATGATTTGAAATAGTCTCGATCATAGAAGGATTGTAGAGAAGAAGAACATCCGAAACGCAGAAGAAGAGGAAACGTTTCGGAATGAAAGAGATGGCTAGTTGATTGAGTAGGTGTTGCGCACCGTTTTATCTTTATAATAGATTAGCCGTTAAAGAACAGTTTATGATTTAAACATAGTCAGTCAACATGTGACACTTGGCGTTTATTTGTAATCCTAATTACAAAGCTGGATATAAAAGAACAGAGCAGCTAGTTGTTGTCTCTGTTAATTTCGGCCAATCCTTTGCCCTACTTGAAGAAACTTAACATGGTATTAGAGTGGTCCAACTAGGTCGCCTTCCGCAGCAAAATGTCTGGCAACGCTGAGACGACCGATGAAAACCAAGATGTCAGTGGAGGTTCTCAGCGTACTAGCGGCGTCTCCAACAACGCAACCAACTTTCGTTTTGGTTCATTTGGAGCAGATCAAAATGGAGTCATCGTTTTTTGTAACCCTCTCTATCTGAACCCAAATGAGAGTTTTGCACAACCCATTGTTTCTGAATCGTTGGATGGGAGTAATTACTCCATGAGGAGTAGATCCATGAAGAAAGCTTTAAAAATGAAGCAAAAACTCGGATCCATTGATCGATCTATGGTGATACCAGCCATAACTGATCCAAGCTTTCCCTTTTGGGATAGTTGCAACATTGCTGTTATAACATGGATTTTGAATTCGTTGGAGAAAGACATTAAGAGATCTGTAATGAGTCTTGAAAATGCTAAGTATCTATGGGATAAGCTTCATCGTAGGTTTGGACAACTTAATGCCAACAGGTTGACAAATCTTGATGATGGAATACATAGATGCAAGCAAGGAACCATGACAATTGCTCAATACTACACTCTGATTATGGGTTTGTGGGACGATTACACAGAGTATTGTCCAATTGTTGAGTGCAATTGCTTGCCAAGAAACCCAAACCCTTGTGCTGTTGTGGTTGCATATAATCAGAAACATGAGACAGATTATCCGATTTCCTCAGAGGTTTGGATCCAGACTTTGAGGGAGTCAAGAAGCTGCTCTTGATGTTGAAACCTCTTCCCACTGTTGCTGAGAAGTCTCCAATTGTAGCTCTTGCAGTTCAGGGAGACAATGCCAAGACAGTTGATGATAGAAACCAAGCCAAGAAGTACTGCAAATTTTGCAAAAAGACCAATCATAATATTGAAGAGTGTTGGACCTATAAGAGGAAGAACAGAGAACATGAACAAGGAAGCAGCTCACACACAGGGTCTCAGAAATTCGTGGGTTCTGTGTCACAAGGTAACTTTAGTGGCATTGAGACTACTTCTGAAGTTAGCTATTACAACGAAAGCAGCATGGTAAGTCATTCTTCACCTAGCTTTACTGCAAAAGAAATGAACAAGCTTAGATACTTGCTGCATTGTGGTGCTAATAAACCAATTCCAGTCAACCATACCTCATCACCCTCACCACCAACCTCACCTTCCATTCACCACCAGGCTTACTCTGTGCCACAGTATCTACCTCCTTTCCCATACTATTCAGGTAAATTTGTCTTATCCTCAGCCATAAACTTAAAATCTCACAAACCTGATAGTTTATGGATGTTGGACATAGGAGCTTCAGACCACATAGTCTGCTCATTAGATTTATTCACTGAATATAAATCAGTACAGGATGTCTTTGTTCATCTTTCTAACTGTGCTAAGATTCTAGTAACTCATATAGGAACAATCAAGCTACCCTTTGCCTTATACCTCTATAGTTTCTCCTTCAACCTAGTGTCAGTGAGTAGGCTTACACATGATTTTCCCATCTCCTTACACTTTCATTATGATATTTGCCATATCTAGGACCTTCAAAACAAGAGGATGATTGGTTTAGCAAGAGAAACTAAAGGCCTCTACCAGCTTACCTTCTTAGAACAACCATATGACCAACCCACTTCACATCAAAGCCAAGATGCTAATGTTTTCAATTTCAATCCCCAACAAGTATACTTGTGGCACTAGAGATTAGGACACCCTAGCAATGATAGGCTTAGCTTGTTACAACATGTTGACACCTCTGTAACTTCTTTCAACGTTGATCATTGTATTGTTTGTCATTTCTCTAAACACAAGAAACTACCTTTTCTTATTAGCACAAACAATGCAGTTAAGCCTTTCAGCTTGTTCATGTTGACATTTGGGGACCACTGTCTATTATGTCTTATAATGGATATAATTACTTCCTTGCTATTGTTGATGATTGTTGAAGAGCTGTATGGGTTTATTTGATGCATGGCAAGGGTGAAGCTAGGGAACTTTTTGAAGGGTTTTTGTATGTTAGTGAAGAACCAGTTTGGTAGTACAGTTTAGATTATAAGAAGTGACCAGGGGAGGGAATTTACCATGTGTGACTTCTTCATGACTGAGGGAATTGAACATCAGATGTCCTGTGTTTACACACCAGAACAGAATGCTAGAGTGGAACGTAAACACCAGCACATTCTCAATGTAGCTAGGTCACTCAAATTTCAATTTGGCATTCCCTTACAATTTTGGAGTGACTGCATCTTGCATTCTGTGCATCTTATCAACGGAGTCCCTAATCACGTTCTTAATAATCGCTCTCCCTATGAAGTAATTTACAAGAAACCACCCTTTCTTGGAAATCTAAGAGTTTTTGGCAGCTTAGCCTATGCTGGGATTCCTGCATCTGGTAGGACCAAATTTACCCCTAGATCCAGGCAATGTGTCATGCTAGGTATACTAGTAGGAATCAAGGGTTATAAGTTGTTAGACGTACACACCAACCATATTTTCACTTCCAATGATGTTGTATTCTATGAATCAATACTCCCTTAAGAACTGGCGACACTGTTTCCCCATCACCTCCTCTATCTGACTTTCCCAATCCTCCTGCTGAGACTAGTCCACCACCTGATCTCATTATTCCCAGCCATTCTACTCCAGATTCTCAACCTCCCTTGTCACCTGAACTAGTGTCAGCTGATGAGGGGGACACCACTGTGACTACTGACATGGCTGAATTTGATCAGGAACTAGAATCTCAACAAGAGTATGAACCACCTTCAAGACCTAAGAGGCAGTATCATTTCCTTAGCAAATATGCTGACTGTGAAGTTGACCCTGGATTACAATTTGGTGCTTTTGGACAAAATGCAGGTGTGAGCAGACATCCAATAGCATTGAATGTGGATCATCCGAATTCTGTTGATAGAAAGTATGCATTGAGTGTCATTCAACAGGATGAGCCACTTACATACCAAGAGGCTATCAAGTATGAACACTGGAGGAAAGCCATGCGACAAGAATGGTACTCATTAGAAGAAAACCAAACCTGGGACATAGTCCTCTACTTGAAGGGAAGAAAGTGATTGGGAATAAGTGAGTCTACAAGATCAAACTTAAATCAGATGGCTCTCTTGAAAGGTTCAAGTCCAGGTTGGTAGCCAAAGGCTACACTCAGGTCTATGGGATTGATTTCCTGAATACCTTCTCCCCAGTTGCCAAAATCAACTCTATAAAGGCCTTGTTAGCAATTGCAGCAGTGAAGAACTGGACATTAGAGCAAATGGATGTTTCAAATGCTTTCCTACATGGAGATTTACATGAGGAAGTATATATGTAATTTCCACCAGGGTTGGATTTAGAATTTCATGGACCAGAGAAGATGGTGTGGAGGTTAAAAAAGTTCCTATATGGACTGAAACAAGCATCTAGACAGTGGTTTGCCAGACTTAGTAGTTTTTGCCTAAAGACTGGATTCAGCCAATCTGCCTCAGACTACTAATTATTCACTAAGTGGATTTGTGGTAGAATTATTGTTATACTCATTTATGTAGATGACATAATCATAGGAGGTGATGCTCCGAAAGACAGAACAGGTGAAGAACCTTCTAAGTTAGGAGTTCAAGATGAAACTCTTTGGTTCACTGAAATACTTTCTGGGTTTGGAGATTGATCGAAGAGCATCAGGGATAAGTGTGTGCCAGAGAAAATACTGTTTGGAGTTGTTGAAGGAGACAGGTTATCTGGAATCCAAGGATGCAGACTCCCATTGATCACAAGGACAGACTTTCAGCAACACAAGGGACTCCTCTGAATGACTCTGAGTAGTGTATGAGACTTGTGAGAAGGCTGCACTATATCACAATCACCAGCCCAGATCTTGCTTTTGCTGTACAACAACTGTGCCAGTTCCAAAAGAATCCATATGAGGAGCATCTTCAAGCAGCACATAGGGTCCTTAGATACATCAAGAATGGACCAGGTCAAAGTATTCATTTTGATAGTGCTGTTGAATTGAAACTGATAGGTTTTTGTGACTTAGATTGGGCGAGTTGTCCAAAATCAAGGAGATCCACTACTGGTTATTGTACGTTCTTGGGAAGATCACTGCTTACTTCGAAAACCAAGAAGTAGACCACAGACTCCAGGTCCTCATCAGAGGCAGAGAGAGTGTATTTCAAAGACGAGTAAGGTTGTGTGCTGAACCGAGAATTAAACCGAAACCACCATTATTCTTTTGATCACGAGGCTAACCGTGCCTAAAACCAAAACCGACCTATCGGTTTTGCGGTTCAATCAAAACCGACTGAAAATCCAACCTTACCTACCAACTACGTAAATAAACTAATCCGCACGCTAATCTAACAAACTTAATTAAACACTAAACCATCCCACATGTTCTCATCATCCGGCGAACCTTATTTTCGACTTTGTGTTAGGTGGAATGCTGAACATGGACAACTTTCTGAAGAAATTTTCTCCATCACGTTACCGAGACAAAATGTACACGGAAACGAACAATTATTGCTCATACGTTAGCACAGGGATCCAGTTGTACGTGGCAGCATTACCAGCACTGGTTGCTTTTTCGTACACCGTGGCACTTTTGTGTAACGCAAAATGGGGGAACAAGAGAGTTTTCTTCTGCGCAACTGTCTCGAGCTTGGTGGGAGTGATGCTCCTTCAGCACTCCCTGCATGTTGGATATCAAGTTTTGGGGATCTTGCCGTTTGGGTTTGGGATCTGATCCCTACAACAGGTTAGGTTACAAACTTAACTCACTCTTTAATTTACAAATTCTAATGGTATACAAGAGATCTAATTTACGTCATTGCCGACGTACACAAACACATTTCATTTCAAATTTTTGTCAAGCGACGTCAACACTGATAGCAGAACTGGTGAATGAGAGCGTAAAGGGGAGGTTGGGACTGATTTTCTCCTGCGCACAGACGCTTGGTTCGGCTATAGCTGCAGGCGTGAACTGGCGAGCCGCTCTGACAACGGGCGACGACGGATGGAGAGCAGTGTACCTAGTGTTAGGGATCCCGCTGTTGGTTCTGTTGTGCTTCAGCTTCCTCTTCGTGCGGGATTCTCCACAGTGGTTACTGGAGCATGAAAGGAAGAATGAAGCAAAAACAATACCTGGCCAGATCAGAGACACTCCGGATGTGGATTATGAGCTGAACAACGTCAAGAAGCTAGTCGAGTGGAAAAGGAAGAAGAAGAATCCCAACTGGAAGGAGCTTTTCAACCGCGCCAATCGACTGGCATTGATCATCAGTACGGTCTTCTCCACTCGACCAGCTTCTTGACGTTGTTCAGCTCGTAATCCACGTCCGGAGTGTCTCTGATCTGGCCAAGTATTGCTTTTGCTTCATTCTCCCTTTCATGCTCCAGTAACCACTGTGGAGAATCCCGTACGAAGAGGAAGCTGAAGCACAACAGAACCAATAGCGGGATCTCTAACACCAGGTACGCTACTCTCCATCCGTCGTCGCCCGTTGTCAGAGCGGCTTGCTAGTTCACGCCTGCTGCTATAGCCGAACCAAGCGTCTGTGCGCAGGAAAAAATCAGTCCCAACCTCCCCTTTACGCTCTCATTCGCCAGTTCTGTTATCAGTGTTGACGTTGCCTGACAAAAAATTGAATTGAAATGTGTTTGTGTACGTCGGCAATGACGTAAATTAGATCTCTTGTATACCATTAGAATTTGTAAATTGAAGAGTGAGTTAAGTTTGTAGCCTAACCTGTTGTAGGGATCTGATCCCAAACCCAAGCGGTTAGATCCCCAAAACTTGAAATCCAACATGCGGGGAGTGCTGAAGGAGCATCACTCCCACCAAGCTCGAGACAGTTGCGCAGAAGAAAAC